AATCATTGTTGTATATCCCCAACCTTTTTGTAGGGTCTGGGCAACATTTGCCATAGTAAATATAGTGGAGGGTAAAACTTTGGGTCTACAAGAAAAAAAAATCATATATACGGTTATTTGCAGTTTTACACGTCTAACGATTACCAGTTACCTACTATTTACATTTACTCTTTCAGGCTGGTTCTCTCTCTGGGCCCGGTCTGGTATACGCAGGTCCGCACGAGTCTCGGACAAACACAGTTCCTCTAACGTCGTATCAAGTTATTTCATATGTTTATTATTTTCACCTTAATGAACAACCCAAATACGTATTTTCATAAAAACCCTTGCAGGCCTTAAACCGCGGACTACAAGGTTGGGGCCACTGCATTAGAGTATAGCATTTACAGCCACATGGTAGATTACTAGTAACGCAGAACATATACAGATGAGGAATAAACAAACTGAATGCATTTATATAAACAATATTTAATAATGGAGAAGTTTATGGCGGGTTTCTATCTAATCCAAAGTATCTACATCTATAAGTAGGTGGAGAGGCCTATTGCACCGACAAAATCAAACCAACATCACTGATCAGAATGCCCCCTATCCCCTTTATTGTTTGTTTTGGTGTAGCGATGTATTTGTTGCTGTTGGTGATGAGTGATGTGTTTGTTGGTGTTGGTGGTGAATGATGTGTTTGTTGGTGTTGGTGGTGAGTGATGTGTTTGTTGGTGTTGTGTTGAGTGATGTGTTTGTTGGTGTTGGTGGTGAGTGATGTGTTTGTTGGTGTTGGTGGAGTGATGTGTTTGTTGGTGTTGGTGGTGAGTGATGTGTTTGTTGGTGTTGTGGTGAATGATGTGTTTGTTGGTGTTGGTGGTGAGTGATGTGTTTGGTTGGAGAGTGATGTGTTTGTTGGTGTTGGTGGTGAATGATGTGTTTGTTGGTGTGTGGTGGTGAGTGATGTTTCTTGGTGTTGGTGGTGATTGATGTGTTTTTGGTGTTGGTGGGAGTGATGTGTTTGTTGGTGTTGGTGGTATGATGTGTTTGTTGGTGTCGGTAGAGTGATGTGTTTGTGTTGGTAGGAATGATGGTTTGTTGGTGTTGGTGGTGAGTGATGTGTTTGTTGGTGATGAGTGATGTGTTTGTTGGTGTTGGTGGTGAGTGATGTGTTTGTTGGTGATGAGTGATGTGTTTGTTGATGTTGGTAGAGTGATGTGTTTGTTGGTGGTGAGGATGTGTTTGTTGGTGTTGGTGGTGGAGTGATGTGTTTGTAGGTGTTGGTGGTGATGATGTTTTGTTGGTGTTGGTGGTGAGTGATGTGTTTGTTGGTGATGAGTGATGTGTTTGTTGATGTTGGTGGTGAGTGATGTGTTTGTTGGTGGTGGTGATGTGTTTTGGTGTGAGTGACGTGTTTGTTGTGTTGGTGGTGAGTGATTATGTTGATGTTGGTAGAGTGATGTGTTTGTTGATGTTGGTGGTGAGATGTGTTTGTTGGTGTTGGTGGTGAGTGATGTGTCTTGATGTTGGTGGTGAGTGAGTGGATGGGTGGTGAGTGATGTGTTGTTGGTGTTGGTGGTGAGTGACGTGTTTGTTGGTGTTGGTGGTGAGGAGGTTCTTGATGTTGGTAGTGATGTTGTTTGTTGGTGGGTGGAGTGACGTGTTTGTTGGTGGTGAGTGATGTGTTTGATGTTGGTGGTGAGTGATGTGTTTGTTGATGTTGGTGAGTGATGTGTTTGTTGGTGTTGGTGGTGAGTGATGTGTTTCTTGATGTTGGTGGTGAGTGATGTGTTTGTTGGTGTTGGTGGTGAGTGACGTGTTTGTTGGTGTTGGTGGTGAGTGATGTGTTGTTGGTGTTGGTGGTGAGATTTGTGAGTATGTCCAAAAGTGGAATGATTTCAAAGAATAATATTGGAGAGTAGGGAAAAACTTATTAGACATTGGGGAAGGAGGCAAGAGGTGGGTGCACCGAAATTGTAAAGAAAATGGATAGACGAAGAAAGTTCTCCTCCAACAAAGTATCTACGTATTTAGAATACTTAAAAGAAAAGTTATAAGTAACAATGAAAACATGAAAGTTAAAAGTAATATCAAATAATACGCAATGCAGATAATATTGCTGTTATCTTGGATAGTGAAGAAGTCTTACAAAAACTGGCAAACAGATTTAGGGAAATGTAAGAATATGAGTTAAAGAGTTAATGCTGTAAGACAAAAGTAATAGTTGCCTAAAATTGTAAATAAATGCTAAAATAAAAATTATGGCAGGGAAGGAACTTAAACAAGTGGACAATTTAGTGTATTTGGGAAATAAAATTAACTGTGATGGTAGAAGTACGGAAGAAATTCAAACAATAATAAGTCAAGCAAAACAGCGTTTAATAATCTAATAATCCTAACAAAAAGGAAATTAACTTTAATTTGAAAAACAGGCTTCTGAGATGAGACTCTTTCAGCTGACATCAGAAAGTTAGAGGTCTTTGAATGAAATGTGGTGTTATAGGTGGTTGTTAAAAATATGTTGCCGTGGCAAAGAACAAATGAAGAAGTATTAAGATTGCCAAGAACTTCAAGAGAAATACTTGAAATTTGTAGAACAAAGAAATTGAGATTACTTTGGTCATATAATCAGGGATAAAGGGATAATAGCAGATATATTAATGGGCAAAGTTGACGGTAGAAGGGCCAGGGGAAGGCAGAGACTGGGTTGGATAGAATTAAAAAATGACTTCCAGAGAAATGCAAAATCTCAGAGAATTGGTCAAAACAGCCCGAGAGTGTTTAGAGTGGAGGACTGTGGTCGGCAACCCTCAGATATTAGGATGGTAATTTGACTGATTTACTCCTTGGGAGTGACGTGTTTTAATGTTATTATTATGCAACAGGATGAGTGAATTATAATATTATATGTGTAAATATTAGCGATAAATGATGTGTGTTAGTACGAGTAGTAGTGACACGATGGAGAATAGTCCGTGAAATATGTATTGGTGCTGGTAGTGAGTGAGTAAGACTTGTGAGTGGGACGCGTGTTAGCGCTAGTGGTGAGTCATATGTGTGTGCTAGAACTAGTGTTAAGTGACATGTGGTAGTGATTATGGTGTACTAGTTATGGTAAAAGCGTAACAAATAAGTGCCTGGGGTAAGGTAAAGATGAGGCAGTATTAATGGTAAATAAAGTATACTGTATACAACTTCGTGTACTGAGTAACAAAGGGGTTGAGTTTAGTGTTGAAAGATGAATGTTTTAGGAGAAATAGTGAGTGTTTAATGTGTTGGTGCGTATAGTGAGTAACGAGTGTGTTGGTGCGTGTAGTGAGTAACGAATGTGTTGGTGCATGTAGTGAGTAACGAATGTGTTGGTGCATGTAGTGAGTAACGAGTGTGTTGGTGCATGTAGTGAGTAACAGGTGTGTTAATGTAATAACTGCCAATGAGAACAACTTTCATTATCGAATTTGTGTGGATTCCGTCCCATGTTGGAATCAGGTATCATGACCGTGCTTACATGCCAATGAGGCATGTAAGAAAGAAAATGTTGACCGTGACCTTGGTCTGTCCAATGCTGTAATTAAAAACATTCAAGTCAGAATCATGAACTCTGATCTAGAAGAAGTGAGAAATGCAGAGAGACCCGACAGTTGTAGCATTAGTAAATATGACAAATTTTGTAACAAGAGGTACCGGTATGGCCAGCATAAGGACAGAACCAGACAATGTGATGTAGTCGTGGCCAGAATTGAAGCTGGGATACAGACACATCGCAAGTTAGTAACGCTGTACCCATACCGGAACACTCAGCCTGTAACTTTGTGATAAACCTTTAAAGCATACACTTGAACGCTATATTATTGAATGTGACACTGTCAAAGACTTCAGGCCACCTGACTTATTGTATCTTGAACTATGTAATTACTTCATTGAATCAGGTGCTTGAGGACATTCTTGCTGTTTATCCCAAATTTGCTAGCCCACACTGATTAGTCTTCAATTAGAATATGACTCAATGTAGTGATCCTGACCTATATATGCTGCTGGTGAATGTGATGTATTTCCTTCTTTGTGTACGAACCTCTGTCCTGCGTGGCAGTGAACAGTGGCATTACCCACGAATCTGACCTATATATAGTGTCAATGAATATGATGCATTCTTTGTGTACGAACCTCTGTCCTGTATGGCAGTGAAAAGTGACATACCCACATGAATCTGACCGATGCATATGTATGTGTGTGTGTGTGTGTATGTACATGTACATGTATATGTGTATGTATATATGTATATGTATGTATATGTGTGTGTGTGTGTTTACATATATGTATATGTACTGTCAATGAATATGATGCATCTCTTTGTGTACGAACCTCTGTCCTGCATGGCAGTGAACAGTGACATTACCATATGAATCGACCTCTATACATTTATAGTTGTTAATGAATATGATGTATTTCTTTGTGTATGAACCTCTGTCCTGCGTGGCAGTGAGAAGTGATACCACCCTCAGTGTCAAGACCTGACTGAATTACTCAGAATAGGCAAACTGTACTACAAGCTCTGCCAATAAATTTGTTAAACTAAAAAAAAAAAGTGCGTGTAGCGAGTAACGAGGACACCAGTGTACCCCCAGAGGCCAAAGCGGCACCTACGCCAGCAGATGAGATATCCTTGCACCAACTATACCTCAAACTTAAATCCCAAGTAACAGGGGTGAAAAGGGTTCAGTGGGAGGACAACAGACGGGTGGAGGTGAGTAGTAGGGTATCTATTTCTACTCCTACTACTCACTGCGTCCATCTGTTGTCCTTCCACTGAACCGTTTCACCCGTCACCCGAAGATACGCCAAATTGTTCCAATAACCTCTAACCACAGATGAGAGTTCATCGCAGCAAACACACCCACCAGCTGGTCTCACCTGTACAAGCTGATACCTGTACATGTTCACTACCAGTTGCGAGACGCACCTTTAGCATTCTGAGGGCAATCTTCTTGATGAGTGGATCATCTTCAGTTTCGACGATTTTGATGGCGACGAGGCTGCCATTTTCACGGTTGCGACACTTATAGACGACGCCATAGGAGCCCTCGCCAATCTTGCTCAGCTTCTCGTATTTCTCCATCAGGCGCGAGGACACCCGGGCTCTCCTGAAAGAACAGTGACATCGTTAGGTTCATACTGGTAATATGTAGGAGGGCGATGCTCATGAATGAAAGTGATCTGACGAAGTGACGAGAGAAAAATATACAGGTTGTAATCTATGCTGTGGATGTAGACAAAAATGCACCTCATTTTTTAATGTGTAAACGAAAGTGGGTCCCATAGGCATGCCTCCCTTTTTGGGACAGTGTGAATACCGCACACTGCATACCAAAGTCTTTCGGTATGCAAACAGACATCGTGGCCGATACTGCACTTGACTGCCTTCACCTCCCCATCTTGTATAATTAAGTACCCATTTGCAGTTGGGTGGACTAGGGGCCAGGACAGAACCAGTTATTTTGTATAATTATCTGATTTGTGAAATATTTTAGCATCGGGCGCTTCTATCATTATAATGAGGAAAGCAACATCCGTGAAACATAAATGCGACTATTACAGGCAAATAGAGCTGGTTTGGATGATGGGCGACTAGTAGTCCATCACAGCTATCTTTTATTTTAGTGAGTAATGTGGAACATAAGGTAGTGTTTTATTCACCCATTATAATACTACAGTTCCGTAATGTAATCCCGACATGTCTCGCTAACCTTCCACAAAAGACTCTAGCTTTGGGGCGTGGCTTCAAAAAGAGTTGCAGATCTCTTGAAACTGAATGTCCCAATCACCCCAGACAAACCCATTAATGCTATACCTCCTTGGCTGGATATATCGGTTCCTATTAATTACACTCCTGCTGGTAGTAAGCATATGTTAAACAATCGATGAGATGTGTCACACTAGGAACTATTAACAGACACATAGAGAGTATTATTTCAAGTGAATGTTATGCTTTTACTGATGGTTCTGTGCAGACAAACACAGGTAGAACAGGCTGTGCAATTGCAATATATAAAGAAAAAGAGATATAAGTGTCAAACAAGCAAAGGCTGAACAACTGGGCCAGCACAACACACACTGAACTAACTGGAATCACTATTATACGTTCATTATATTTTACCTAAGTGGCTGCCAATAAAAGAAAACACGCTTAATAACACATATCCTTGTTATCACCACCCTCCCACGCAGCAACCTTTGACTCACATGCCATGTTTTTTTTTTTTTTTAATGGCACTCACCTACATCCTGTGGTGAAGCGAAGTGTTACAGCACCCAACAGGGAAGCATGCTAAGTTCATGCTTGCCATGTCTCATGAGTTGAGGTGCGTCCTGAAGAGTCAGTGGTTTATGTCATCAAGTTATTGGAACTCCACACCCTGAATACGAATTCGCAACTTTCGACTTAACAACAGGTACCTACTTTACTGCTAGGTGAACAGGGACTAATGGGGCTAGGAAGTAAGTCCAAACAACTTCCACCGGCCCGGGAATCGAACCCGTGACATCTCGCTTGCCAGGCAAGAAACGCGTCTACCACCGATCCCCCAGGCTCACGTGCCATGTGTCGCATGCCATGTGTTATCGCCGCCCTTGTACGCCACGACCTCTGAACCCATCTGGCTGCGTGACCTGTGACCTCGCCAGATGTTTGTGGACGCACGTTTGTTTCAGTCGCAGTCTGATCACGGAAGGGGACAGACATGTTCCCATAGGTACTCCTGTCCTTCAGATCGTCACACAAAGGCCACCACAGTCTCTACCTCCCTTCTCGCCGGCAAGTGTTGAGCGATGGGGGGGTGACGTAAACGCCCAGAAGAGAGTCCTCTGATACAGACATTTCTGATACAGATAGTCATAGTGCACCCACACCCTGCAAGAGTCAGACCTCAGTGATAGTGACAGAAACAGTAATGTTTTATGGGAAAACTTGTCGGAGTGGAACACAGCCGCAAGGCGAGCTTCCTCGCCACCCACCTCTGCCAACCAACCAAGTAGCTGAATCTGCACTTTCCAAAGGACCCATTGAAAACCGTCGAGGAACAGTTTAAATGGACAAAAAGTACTCTGATGCTGTCAGGCCATGTGCTCCACCGGTGCCCCCCACAACCGGTGACACGACACAGATCATATCCTCTTACACGAATTTACCAACCGTATTGAAAGACTCTTTGATACACTCTGTACCGCCATCTCCAACCTACACAGCTAACCCCTGCCTCCAGCTGCTACCCAGTCACCCCCTCTTCTGGTTTGACACAAGCTGGTAGCCCCTGCCCCTCATGTCACTGCCTATTGGCTTCACTGCTGGCGTCCACGCTACCGAGGCCTGCCCGGTGTGTCCGGCTGCCCCATCCACCCGCAAGCTGCGGCTCGCCCATGACCCGAGGACACCACCCGGCCCCCCGTCCCCATCAGCGTGCCAGCACCTGGGGCCAATCCACTCCAGTTCTCCACATCAATTGACCACCATGTGGACATGCTAGTGACTACGTATCTACGCCAAGAAGGACGTCCCTACCAACCTCTCGACATCCCCCTGAAGCCGACACTACCGACGTACACGCCATCACAATCAATAAACGGTATGTCCTCAATATTGTCATGTCTATGGTCTGGCACTTGACATTATTAGGACCTGCCACGCTTTGCCATAAACAGATAAATTGTACAGGAATTTTCCACACATTCATCATTCTGTCACTTTATGTAACTTGCTGATAAAACCCATAACCCTTTAGGCTTTTAGCCCCTAATGCATGAGTCATGGCAAGCATGAACTCGCATGCTTCCCAGATGGGCTGTAAACGCTTCTGAGCTTCATCTTGCACAGTATGCAAGAGGGTGCCCAATAAACTAACCCCCCGGTGGCAATCTAAAAAAATCTAAAGTTTTTTGTTGTTATGACCATAGATAGGGGCTCGGGACGTCTCTGGCTGACAGTACCGTCCAGCCCATTTGAGGCCACAGTAGCTCTAACCAGGAGTTACTTGGAGCGATACTAGGAGTTAAGTGGAGCTATAAGCCTTCACACGTGAGTGAAAGAACACAGTGATTGTTTGTATTATGGTGAAATGTTGTGAACTACATACGTGCATAGTGTAAGGTAATTTGGATAATAACCATAAAGAACAGTGTATTTACTAACTGACGTATAATGTATACATGTAATGGTATGTAATCAGTATTTAACGAGTGTCTCACTTTTACAGGTTTTGATCATATCAATCAATAAACGTTGAGTGAGTCCACGCTGTGGGTTTCTCTCACCCTTAAGACGTGACGTTATCTAACTGTCGAACCATTCGGCAGTTAAACTCCTGCTCCTTAGGGTCCATGAAATACCAGGCACGTTTCATCAACCACGCTCTACAGTGCAGTACATTATTATCAAACAAGATATTATTAACAGCGTTTACTCGCCTCGTACTCTAAATATCCATCATAAGCCATAATCTACAATACATTGAATATCAACAGAAGCTCCTACGGTGGGGACACTACTTCGTTCTGGCATTTATAAATCGTTTTACAGTGGGCATACATTCAGCTTTTAAACTGCTGATGAAGATCTTTAAATGAATACTCCTGATGGTAGTATCCATGGCATTATTGAAACATTGTGGCTGGACGTATTAGTAATGGTGTGTATATTGTTGTTAGTGAGTGGGAGATGAATCATCAATCAGGGTGAGAGACTCACGTAAGAAGGATGCGAGATGATCCACAGGCAGAAATGATAAAAAAAAATGGAAAAAGAGTGTTAGAACGGGAAGAATGTGGAGGAAGGGAATGTGAGAGATGCGGATGAAGTGACGAAAGATTGACACCAATATGTCACCTTATCCTTCCCCAGCAACAGTGGCCCCGGGTCGATCAAACACCCTCTAATAAAAGCAAATAAACACTGTTTTGCGTGTGAAACCAGAAACAATTTATTTCTATCAATACAGATTTTTAAATTGCCTTCTATCATCTCTGAGCACGAAATGCCAATATGTGTAGCAGTACAGTGACTGGTTGAATGATGGGAATAAAATTGAAAACCTGTATTGATGGAAATAAATTTGAAAGATTCCTCTCTTATTTGAATTATGTTTCACACGCGGAACAGAAATCATTACTTTTCCTTGAAATTGAAATTGTGTATTTTTTCACCTGTAATATAAATTATTATTATTTGTTTTACTTCTTATTTGTTTTGGACAAATGGCAAGTGGCGTGCAATGCATTTATTATGTATATTACATTATGCATTATACATTATGCAGAATACATTAACAAATTTGATACAATTAACATACAGTAAGTAAGTCTTTTGTCTTTATTATAAACTAAAAAACGTCAAGTGGTGATTGTAATCAACACTACTTCATCTTAACAAAGACGGGTGTAGTGTAGTGAACACATAGACGGGTGTAGTGAACACCATAGACAGGTGTGGTGTGGAAGGTGGACAAAATAATAAACCTAATATTGACCTAAATTAGTGATGACATCAGGCGACCTATACAATGGCTCACTCTCATAGCGAAAGATTTCACTAAACACCTGACCTAGTACGCTGATTCATGGCTGAAATATGGACGGGGAATAATGACCAAATGGGCAACTCAACAGATTACTCTGAGACAAAATCAACATGCTCCCAGATCTGCGTCCGTGAAATTCGTCCCCAGAACAATGTAGAGTACCGAGGATTATTCTGCCGCCTGTGTGATTGGCATATCAAGAACGCTGCTCACACACGTCCATGTTTGTTTACTTCTCCACCAGAAGCACAGGTGTATACTGTAGACATGTGTTGATGAGTTCCAATAATATACTCATGAATTTATGTTCTTATTTTTCTACGTGGTGTTAGATGTATTAAACTTTTGCTTTTAACAACAGTGAATTTTACCAATGAACATGTGACTAAAAAATAGAAATGATGATGCTTTACCCAGTTCCAATTTTATTAATTAAAAAATAATAACAAGAGGTTGAACTTAATGTGGTAATATGCAGTCAAGATTAAGGAGGAAATGTTCCACTTTTACAAAACCAAATTCGAACAGAATACACTATTTCATCTTAATTTGTCATCATGATTCATTGAAATATG